GCAATGTTCACCGTAGTAATTACCATTTGGTTATCACAATTCACAATTAAAGATAGTCGTTATTGGTTTTTCAACCACCGGCAAGTCCAACAAGTGCTCACATAGCCATTCTCTGCTGCTGCAGAAAGGCGTGTCAAAAGCGATAAGTTCGGCTATCATGGTTGACCTCATCAAAATGACCTGTTTGCTAGGCCTCCATGGCTCCACACACCACCTCTAAGAGTAAATACATACCATCTAGTGGCGTAGAGTTCTTCAACGTCAAATATCCAATTAGGCATTGTATCCCTCAAGCATATAGTTGGGTGCCCAAAATAATGAATTCCATATCTCATTGTACCTTTAAGATAATGCAAGACCCTTTGAAGTGGATGCCAATGATCATCACTCGGGTTAGACATGAACCTACTCAATCTACTCATAGCAAAAGAGATATCTGGTCTTGTTAAGCTAGCTAAGTACATGAGTGCATCAGTAATCTGAGAGTGCCTCCATTGATCTCTAGCTATCTGTTGGTAATGTCCTGAAGAGGCAATCATACTTGTTATCTGGATTGTGCCCATAGTGGGCTAAAACACAATCCATTAGGAGCATTAGTATACTACTAATGGGCTTTTAACAAGGGATGTCTTTAAAGCCCATGAGTGGAGGTAGATTATGTAACATTAATTAGTACCATATCACTAGTTGATGTTGATATAGGAGTTATCCTCCCTATATAAATGTACCAACACCCCATGGGGAAGATAACTCTTGGTCCTTCCAAGTCTAAGCTTAAGCCCCCTTTCTCACCCTCTAAGCTACATGCCAGATGCTAGCACACCGACGCCCAGTGTTCCATCTCCGCACGTCACTACTACAAAAAAACTTAACTGCGACTTTTTCAAAAACCCCTCGGAGGCGGGCACAATTTTGAACTGCCTTGGTTAATGCCTCAGATTAACCAAGGCGGTAGCTTTTTATTAACCGAGACAGTCGCTTTTAATTAACCGAGGCGGTTACAAACAACCGCCTCGCAAAATCGATTTACGGTAACCGCCTCCTAAAATCTATTAACCGGCCCGCCTCCAAAAACACCCCTATTTTCGGAGGCAGGCCTTTTTATTAGGACCGCCTCAGTTAATATGGCTAAGCCCACCTAAAATCCACCTCAGCCCATCCTGGCCTGACACCGCATCATAGTATATATATTCAGAGAATGAAACCCTAAGCCCTCACTCTCTCCCTCACCCGGCCGCACACGCCCCTCGTGAAGTCGCAACTCCCCTCGGTGTCTCCGTTGTGAGTCACGACTGCCTCTCCCACATGACCACCCTCTCCCTTGCGACACCACTCCGGCCGCCCTCTTCCTCTCCCTCTCCACTCTGGCCTCCCTCTCCCTCTCGCTCTCCACAGCCTGGGGCACAGCCCCTCCTCCGGCGATGGCGCGGCGCGGTGGGCGTGGCACCTCCTTCGGCGACGGGCATGGCGCGAAGGACATGGCCCCTCCTTCAACAACGGAGGCACAACGAGTGGTCAGATCTATGGCGGGCCCACTTCCAGGCGTGGTCGTGGGCGAGGCGAGGTGGGCACGGTGGGCCCGACTGAGGCTGCGGTGGGCTCCTTCCTCTCCCAGTGGTGGCTCCTTCCTCCCCTAAGCTCCTCCACTAGCAGCAGCGCGCCCTCCTCCCCCATCTCCTCCTCCGGCTACGTGGTGGCCGGATCTATGGTGGGCCCACTTACCGGCAGCGGATCCACGCCCGACTAGGATGGATTCGACGGTGTGGCTGCTGGATCCGGTGGCGAGGAGTCGGATTCGGCTGCGCCCTGGCCTCGTCCCCTCCCTCCTCCATTGCAGCACAGATCTGGCGGGGAGGACGCCTCTGGTGGTGGATCTGGCGGCATGGTGCCCCCTAGTGGTGGATCCGGTGCGTGGCCTAGCCTCCTCCCCTCCCTCCTCCACGGTGGCGTAGATTTGGGGGGAGGACGCCTCCTACGGTGGATTCAATGGGATGGTGCCCGCCGATGGTAGATCTGGCGATGGTGTCTCCTCCCGACTGTTTCGCCCCATGGGCTCAGAACGGGCTCGTCGGTGGGCTCGAGAATAGGCTCACCGGCAGGCTCAGTTATTTTTTTTGGTTTTTTAACTGATTAACCGAGGCGGGTAGGAAACCGCCTCGGTTAAGGCCGCATTAACCGTGACCTTCACTCTAAGGCGGATGGCTTGCCCACCTCGGTTAACCCCTTTTGCCCGCATCGGTAAAAAATAGTGTAATAGTGAGTGTGGATACTATGGAGACACTGCTATTGTTGTTCTGCAGATCGATCGGCAATGAACAGGAGGCAAGCGGACGTGTTATTGCTACTGGTACGTGAGGATGTATGACTACTTCCACTACAATGATGCGTGACGTTGGGCTGCTACAACTCGGCTATCTTTGTGCGTCTAGTGGTAACGATCGATGATCCTCTACTGCGCATGTCGTTATCTTGGTTGAACATGGTAGATCTGCTAGTGTAGCATACCCATTTCCATACACTATCCTCTTGTTCTTTTCAATGTTACATTGGGATCATAATGTGTTGGAGAAGGTTTGCTATCCATATACCCGAACGGCTTAAGATCTTCTGAACATATTGAGATTACAACAAAGTAATCTTACTCTCATCCTCAATAAGCTTGATGTTTAGAATCACATCAGGTTCTCCTAGATCTTTTAGGTCAAAACTCTTTGAGAGAAAAGACTTTGCCTTATTGATTGCATCAATGTTTGTGCCAAAAATCAGAATATCATCAAGATGCAAACATAGTGTAACAGTATGCCTCCACCATGGCGATAATACACACATTTATTAGCCTTATTCATGGTAAAGCCGGAAAAGGTTAAAGTTCTGTCATACTTCTTATGCCATTGCTTGGCTTCTTGTTTCAAGCCATACAAAGATTTCAGTAACCTACACACCTTGCGCTCTTCTTCTTGTACTACAAGCCCATCAAGCTGATCCATATATATTTCCCCATCCAACTCAGGTAGGTTGTATTCACATCCATTTGATGAACGAGAAGACCATATGAGGCAGCCAGGGAAGTAGCACTTGAATAGTGGTCATTCCAGCAACATGTGAATAAGTATTAAAGAAATCGTTGCCTTGCTTCTGGGTATAACTCTTAGCCGTAAGCCGAGCCTTGTACTTGTCAATAGTACCATTAGGCCTAAGCTTCCTTTTGAACACCCACTTACAGCCCGCTGGTTTACAACAATAGGGTAACTCAGTTAATTCCCAGGTCACATTAGAAAGGGTCTAGTCCATCTCATTACAGACAACTTCTTTCCAATCATCAACATTTGGATCATGCATATGCCTTTGAAATAGACAAGGGAGTATTGCCCACAAGGTACACAATGAAATCATCACCGAAAGACTTTGTAATCCTTGTCTCTTGCTCCTCACAAGAGCTCCATTGGCATTCTTCTCAAGGACTTCCTCATGTGGATGCTCAAATGACTCAACAGGAGGCTTGATAGGTGTAGTAAAATGTCAAGCTATCTTAGAAGAAAATCTAGAATTTCTATGCATATCGTCTTTCATACGAAATATATTCTAAAAATATAACATCATGAGATTCCATAATTGTATCAACATGCATATCACGAACTTTAGATTTTACCACTAAAACCTATAGGCAATGCTCTATTGAGCATATCCTAGAAAAGGCCATCCATAGCCTTGGGTCCAAGCTTGTGCTTCTTAGAAATTGGTACGTTGACTTTCGCCAAACATCCCCATGTGCACGCAAGTATGAAAGTGACGGTTTCCTTCCAACCCAATCCTCATATGGGGTTGTCTCTTTATTTCTATTTGGAATTCTATTCGGGACATGACTCGTAGTCAATAAAGCCTCCCCACCATGCCTTAGAAACTAGCAATTGTCTAATATGGCGTTCACCAAGTCATTCAAATGCGACTTTTCCTCACGGCAATCTGTTTGATTCGGAGATTTAATAGGGAGGCTTCCTTTCATGAATAATGTCGTGTTCCTTGGAATCCATCAAACAATCTGGGAAAATACTCACCACCATGATCCATCTTTAGATGCTTAATCTTCCTCTCTAGTTAGTCTCAACTTTAGACATATAGAATTTATAGTAGTATAGTGTTTCATCCTTAGATTTGACCAAGTAAACATTGCAAATCTAGTTGTATCATCAATTGAAGTCATGAAATATCGCTTTCCACCTTTTTTCCCTATTCATCTCGCATATATCAAAATGTATTAGCTCTAGAGGTGCCACATTTCTCTCACCTCTACCTGGTGAGGCTTTCCAGGTTGCTTTGATTGCACCCAACTATGGCACTAAGAACCTTTGACAATAGTGAAATCTAGAATTAAACTCATGATGGACAATCATAACATCAAACCAAAGTTAACATGACACAAACGAGAATGCCAAACACTCGCATTTTCATTATCCATGCCACAAATATGGTTCACTGACTTATTACAAAAATTTGCTGAAGAAAAGCGAAACAAGCCTCTGCACTCATAGCTTTTACCAATAAATTGTCCACGCTTCAACACCACTACTTTAGTCGACACTAACACTACCTTAAACCCGTCTCTGAAAAAGAAATCCCTTCTTTTCAGAAATCAAACATGAGAAAATTCAAGACTATGCATGCTTGGTGAAATTGAATACTCTCTCTTGTGCTAGAATTATGTATCCACTCTGAAGATTACATGCTACTGTGTCGTGCAGTGAAGATGGGGAGTGCTTGAGTCGAACGAAACCTGAAGAAAAATACACTTTTTTTTAAACTGACGTTATGGTACAGAGAGATAGGCTTTTGTTGTGTCAGCCTTAGACACTAGGGTAAAAGATATTCATCCTGCAAGACGAAAATAGGAACAGTAAAATACAACTACTCAACTAGGACATTTTTTTGGACAAACTAGAACAAATTTTGAAGTATACGATATCAAAGTATAACGGACGTTGCTAGTGTTACCTCAGTTTTGACTATGATATATATGCTTTCTTGATTCCGTGCAACCTTGCAGTGACTTCCTGCATGCAGATGCGCTCATTCGGGGACGGCTTGGTGCAGAGAAGCCCAATGTTTAGGAATGAAAGCAAACACTCCATGCTTTTCTCCTTCATGGCCACTGAAGTTTCTGGACATAAATGTTGTTGCTCTACTAGTAGTTCAGGATCTATTATCTGTGGTATCCTGTCAGGAAAGTTCATCTCAACAAATTTTGTAATGTTCATCTCACCATTGAACATATCATCAGTTGGCCTCCTTCATAAAAATATATTTCAAGTAGAACAATCCAAGCTGTATACATCCCCAAACTCGAAACAGCTCCGCCTGCAACCCACTCTGCAGATTGCACAAAAGAATTGTTTACTCAATGATAAAAGTACATGAAAACATTAAGCTGCATGAAACTTGGATTACCTGGAGGAATATACCCTATTGTTCCCATAATAGCGACAGAAGACGACATTAAATAAGTGGAGGACGATGCTTTGCAGAGTCAAACTTGAACCTTGCAAGACCAAAGTCTCCAACATGTGCTGTCATATTGTCATCCAAAAGAATGTTGCTAGGCTTCAGATCACAATGGACAATAGTTCCTTGGTTGCCATGGTGGAGATACTCCAATGCATCTGCGACATCCACTGCAATACTTAACCTTTGAGCCATTGTGATGTGGCTTCGAGTTGATGTGTTCCCATCACATTGAGTCGAGTATAGTAGCTCATGCAAGCCACCTTGTGTCATGAACTCATAGACTAAGGCTTTGAAATCATTTCCATTGGAATCAATACTAGAGCATGCAGTGAGTATAGGAACTAGATTTCGATTGCCGCACCTTTAAGTGAGAGCATTACATTCTGCAATGAAGCTCTTTTGTGCCCCCCATGTCTCTAGGCGAAAAACTTTGACAGCAACCATGGTTTTGTCTTGGAAGAGTTCTCTTTTATACGGAAGAATATCTTCCTTTGCCAATCAAATTGCATGATGAGAACCCGCATGTTGCTCCAGCGAGATCGTTTTATGAAACTTTGGGAAATTTGCTACTGAATGAGGGCAAAGATAACAGATTTGTCTTTTGTTTTCCTCTCCAGACAACCATTACAGTTATGACTAAAGCAAGGGACAAAATGCAAGATAATGGGATCACTACTTTTTGTACAATGGAATGCCTCTGCTTACTTGAATTAGCAGGCATGACATGGCATGCGAGTAGGTGTAGCTCCAATGGCCCACCACAAAGCCCTGGATTTCCATCAATCCTCACAGCAGTCACATTACTGAATATCCCTTTCAATGGGACCTGACAGCTGATGTTGTTGAATGACAAATCTAGTTGCTCAAGGTATTGGAGGTTTGTGAGGGACATCGGTATTGACCAGGTCAAATTATTGTGAGACAAGTCCAGAACTTCTAGACCCCTTATGTTGCCTAGTGAAACGGGTATGCTTCCTCCGAAACTATTCTGTTGCAACACAATGTATTGCAAGTTTTCACAATTACCTATATTGGTTGGAATGTCTCCAAACAGCATATTTGTTGGCTTATCCAAGGTTATTTGAAAAGTTACATACTTGAAGATTTTGAAGAACTCCTATGCTTGTAGGTACATGCCCTTCGAATTTGTTGGCTTGAAGTCCGAGATCTGATAACTGAGTCAAGTTCATATGGTATGATGGAATAAACCCTGTGAAATTGTTGTTACCTAAAATCATCACTTGTAAACTGTTTAGAGTTCCAAGCCATTCTGGAACCTAGCCTGTAAATTGATTCCCACCTAGTCCTAACCACATCAGGTTGCGAAGGTTTGCGATGCCAGAAGGAAAACCACCTGATAATTGATTATTCCCCAGTAATAATATCTGCAGTTCAACAGAAAGGTTACCTAATGAAGTTGGTACGTGGCCTTCTAGCTGATTGTCAAATACTGATAATCCTTGTAGCTTACTACAGTTGCCTAAGCTGTAAATAAACTCCCAGTCTTGACTGTTACGAGCTTTAAGTTTATTGAACTCAAGATTCAGCCCGTAGAGATTGCCAAGTTTGCCAATGGAACTAGGGATCACGCCAGTGAAACTGTTGTTTGACATATCAATCATGCGCAGATCTGATGCATTGGCCAACGAGGAAGGGATGTGACCATGGAAAAAGTTGTAGTCTATTAGAAGAATTTGGAGGTTGGGAAGAGAGCTACCTAGGCCAGGTGGCACCTCGCCGCTTAAATCATTCATTGCAATACGAAAGGAAACGAGGGTTGAAAGATTCAGGATGGCCTGTGGAAAACTACCTACCAAATGGTTGGCACTAGCGTTGTGATATTGGTAAGAGAAGGAGGGATGGTGCCTGAAAGATTGTTAGATCCAAGCTCCAGCTGTTTAAGTCCAAGTGGCAGGTCCGGAAATCCTCCAACGAGATTGTTCCCATTGAGCCATAGTATCTCCAGATTGGAACAGTTTCCAAAAGTAGGTATAACTCCATGTAACGTGTTGTTACTCAAGTAGAGGGTTTGGAGGCGATGCAACTGGCCAAGGGCTGCTGGGATTTGTCCACTGAATCTGTTTGTTGCTGGGGACAGCTGTTTCAGGAATGTCAGGTTTCGAGCAGAAGGAGATATTTGGCCGACTAAACCTCAATTTCCAAGATCAAGATTAGTGACACGATTGCTCGTCGTCCTGCACGTGACACCTTCCCAATTGCAGAAATGAGTGCTGTCATTCCAAGAAGCCAATGCTTGCTGTGGATCCAAACTGATCGAGTTCTTGAATTCAAGCAGTGATAGTCGATCTGTTTGGTTCCCAGGAGTGGTGTTGCTGCTGCTGCGGGTGACAGCATGCACGCTGCAAGCCATGAGCACCAGAAGAAACCGTCCAGTTGCAGCAGCCTTCATGGTGATAATAATAAGATAAGCAAGCGGGGTGAAAAATTCACAAGTGCATAATTCCAGCGGCTTCAGCTTTCTGTCCCTACCTATTAAATGCAAGAGATGAAGATCAACACAAATTCCGACCAAAGTACTAATAACCAAAGTACTAATAACTTCAAAGTACTTCTAAAATTAAAATTTCAGAAAATAATAATGTACTTGTGCGTAAAACAAATTTGCATGTGGAGTACCTGAAACTAAAATAATGTCTTTCTTCTCGATTACGGGAACCAGGGAACGTATCTTATGGTCTTCTGTTCAGCAGTTATCGGTACTGTCAGTGAAAATCCAACTGCATGATGACGATCAATTATATCCTGCATCCAGAGTTTACAAAAATCAAAACCTTGCCGCATACTTACAATGATACAAAGATCAAAAGAAAACAAAGGCCCCGCTGACCCACAAACCAGAGAAAGAAGCGGTCGGACACCTAGTTACAGAAATCGAAATGCTTGGATCGATGCCCAGCAGTCGAAGTCGGAGGGGTATCGCCGGCGAGGAAGAAGTCACCTTCTTGCACGGGACACACGGGCCGGTCGAGCTAAAGGGCAGCTACAGCTATGAGCTACCCCTTCTTGTGTGGTTTGTGGTCTGCACACTGACTTTTTATTTCTGGTCCTGTTTAGTTCCCAAAAATTTTCACCACAAACTGTCACATTAAATCTTGCGGTACATGCATGGAGCATTTAATATAGACGAAAAAAAACTAATTGCACAGTTTGGTTGGAAATCGCGAGACCAATGTTTTAAGCCTAATTAGTCCATGATTAGCCATAAGTGCTACAGTAACCAACTTGTGCTAATGACGGAATAATTAGGCTTAATAAGTTCGTCTCGCAGTTTCCAGGCGAGCTATGTAATTAGTTTTTTTATTAGTACCCGAAAACCTATTCCGACATCTCCGAAACATCTGATGTGACATTCAAAAATTTTCATTTCACGAACTAAATGCGCCCGATGGGTGCCATTTTTAATTTGCCCCTTTCATGATGCCTTCTTGTAGAGACTAGAGATAACGGATGGGTGCTCTACGGCCACATCATCAAATATTGGTCATGCTTGCTTATGCTACAAGCAGCCCAGAGTGGCTGCAGCTTATAGCTGAAGCTAGCTACAGTACCAAACAGACCCACTGATGATCGATCCCCCAGCAACAGGACGGCAACTTGCGCCATGAGCATAAGGATGGATCGTCCATAATTGGGGGTCACATCGACAGATCAAAGACGCCGTTAGGTGGCATTTTCTTCTATTTATTAGGACCGTACTGGTGCGTTGTCACGGGACAATTGCTAGATGCTACCACTACCAGCACTAAGCGCCGAACTTGCACTACGTCGGAGAGAGTTTGTAGAGGCTGCTCCAGCGGGTTCGTAGGGACGGCTGGGTCAGCCGTCCTACCCATCCATCTCTATAAATCAACGATCTCTAGCCGTCCTTAGAAATTATTTTGTAGGGGACGGCTAAATATTTGTAGGGGCGACTAGAAAACGATCTACCTCTACAAATTCTTGCCCAAAAATGAAGAATTCGGATCCAAAAAATAGCAAAAAAAATTTATCCGAGGAGACCCCACCGGGCAGCCACACACGTGCAAGTCGCAAGTCACACAATTTTTCGCATGAAAGCCCAAAAATGAAGAATTCGGAACAAAAAATAGCAAAAAAAATTTATCCGAGGAGACCCCGCCGGGCAGCCACACACGTGCAAGTCGCAAGTCACACAATTTTTCGCGTGAAAAACACGCACTTCATGGCCACCGGGATCAAACCCGCAACATCTCACCTCGCGTGTTACTCCTTTAATTACTCCACTCCATACTCCCTTGTGTCCATATGAAATATTCTCCCTTTTTTACTATACTCATTTGATTTTGAAATGAGTGTTTGGGACCCTAAACGATTTAAAATGAAAATTTTTTCTCGGCAAAGGACGTTTTCCCGGTAGTGGCTAGGTTCTAGGGTCTAGGGTCTAGGATTTAGCGTTTATGGTTCGCCACATTTGTTTGGTAGGGACTATTATCTATTATTTATGGAATTTGTGGAACGAGAGAAATAGGAGGTTTATTTAGAATTTAGCAAAGCAACCAGAGGAGGTGGCCTTCGTGATAAAAGAAGTTGCTACAACTCGCGACGGATGGTCATTGTTGCTGTTATACTTTGAGTTATTTGAGCTGTACACGACCTGTCTCGTTTCTATTTGGTTCTCTTGTGGCGATCGGGCAGGCCCATTAGCGCGTGTTTAGTTCCCTAAATCTAGGAATGTAGGTTACTGTAGCAATTAGTGTTTAATCATAGACTAAGTAGGCTCAAAACGTTCGTCTCGCAATTTCCAACCAAACTGTGCAATTAGTTTTTTTTCGTGTATATTGAATGCTCCATGCATGTATCGCAAGATTCGATGTGATGGGTACTGTAGCACTTTTTGGGATTTTGGGGTGGCAACTAAACACGTGCTTAGTTTTTTTCGTAGTTGTTTTTTCGTACTGTGTTTTCTCAAGGTGAGATTGATAGTGGATAGGTTGTCAGTTGTCTAGTAGTCTGGGGCCTACAAGACGCTAAGTGGTTTGTATTTTATTTTACTATTTTTCTAGATTCAGAAATAAAAAGTATTTTGGCCTCTCGCATCCGCACGTGAATATCTTTTGTTTTACTCTACCATATCTAATATATTTGCAGCAAACCTCGCTGCCGTTTCGAAAAAAAACGAATGCTGGCGTTCTCACGCCAATAAATCAAATGCTGTATACGGAACGAACGAGGGCAGAAACAAGCAAAGCAGGTGTTTCCAACCTTCCGTAGGTGAGACATCCCATCAAGAGAAAATAGCACTTAATGCGCCAGATGTGACATGAAAAAATAATGGCAGATGCCGCGTGAGAGCTCTGCTTCTCTCTGCCCTCCTTCGTTTCGTTTACTGCATTTCCATTACACGTACTCTCCGTCGAGAAACACTGTCGTTTTCGTTTTCCAACAAATAACCTTAACTAAATGTATATTAAAAATATTAATATTTATGGTATATAATTAGTATAATTGAAAAGATCTTTGACTCTAGTTTTTTAATAAATTTATTTTGAGATACAAATGTTGCCTGTATTTTTTACAAATCGAGTCAAACTTGCGATACGGACAAAAAAAAACGACAGTCTTTCTGGAACGGAGGGAGTATATTCTTATTGTGGGTCAATTCTTGCCTTTTGTCCTTCCCTTTCGTTGAGGGAGGGCAGAAAGAAGCAGAGCTCTCACGGTGGCACGCCCTCACACGGCTCTACCGCGTCGTCTCCACCGAGTCAAGTCTCCCCTCACGGCCTCACCCGTGAGCTCCAGGCTCTCGCTGACCGCGTCGTCCATCGGGCAGGTGTGTTCTTCCTCTGCTTGTATAGGCGCGGATCAGGGTAGTTAGATAACGCAATCATTTTGTATTTCAACGTATCCTATTACTAATATTTTTTCACTATATACAATAGTTGAAGAAAGAAAAGATGAAGGCCATTTGATCAGACTGCCCTATGAATATTGGGCAGAGGCAAGAATCGTAGTTTAACAATAGACAACAGGCTAAGAACCGGTTCCTCATACCGGCAACAATGAGTTGATTAGACAAAGAATTATAGGATTTGCAATGCATAAATAAGGTATTACAGACGGACAAAATGCAAAACATGGAACAATATCATCTCTTATAGTCAAGCAAGAGGTTTTAATTCAACCTCGGCTGTGATTATAGTACAACTGAATACTATATATCAGTATAGTTCTTGCAGGTACAAATGGACTATCCTCCTTTTATAAATGTACTTATACGCTAAAAGGTTTTCATTCCTAATCGGTCAGGTCTCAACTTGCAGGCGGGCTTGTTCATGGCCGGCCGCTAACCCGCCTCACTTGCCGCAAAGTTTATTAGTGGGCTTATGGACACCACAAAAATGCGGGATCTTGCGGACAAGTGTTCCGAGACACAACAAACTTGTATGCAAAACCCGTAAGACCATAAAGGCGTACAGTACAGTATCTATGTATTATGTTTCCTCAGACATTTTTTAAAAGGATACTGAAAACCCTGTCCAAACCAGAGGCTAAACTTTCAAAGCTAGACCATTGCTGTGCGAAGCCGAAGGGCAACTGTGCGAGGCAAGACAAGGAGTGAACCCGTACCAACTGTTTACTTATGCAGCAAATACAAAAACAGTTCCTGTGGTTTTAGAGTCACCAGCTGTGAGCATTGCATTCACCAGCAATTCCTAGCCAACAACACTACTGGCCATTCCAGCTACTGATTCCAAGAATTAGGATTTTAATTAACCGCTACAAAATTCTTTAGTGGCAGAGGCCCAATTACGGATCACCGCACAGGGGCGCGCGAGCCAAATACACAGTTAGATTTGCTGAGGCGTCGCAGCAGACTTACACTACATGAGAGAAGCAGCAAGCTTACACTACATGAGATGAGATGACAGCCCTGCCTGAACCTGAATGGCTGAATGCATGGGGGACGTCTACGAAACTATAGCTTCACTATGATTTCTCTTCGTATGACTAAGTCATACACGTTGATGGCGTCAGCAAAATATTCAACTGCAAAAAAAGAATTGACAGGCACACCGATGATTCAGCAGGATTGCTGCACTTAGCGTCGAATGATATACATACATTGGATGAGAATCATAGTTACCTATATCATCTTGGTCTGGGGAATCAAGCAAAATGTCCGAATCTGAAGATATGTAGGGCATGAGATTATCTTGTATGACATGTTGACTGATAAAACTTACTCATCAGCTGAGAGTGATGAAGCAGATGTTGACTCAATATTGTCTCGACTTGGTGCTTCAACGTTAGCACTACCACTTTCTTGAGCATTCTCATTTGGAGAATATTTTGCCTTGTTAGATAACACCTGAGTAATCAAGGACAATAATATTAGAATTTTTTTCTCACTAGATGGACCAAAAGATAAAATCATATAAGCAGTGCATAAATTTTTCATTACCACTTCATGCATGGACTGAGCAGCTCTTATCTCTTGCCAGTATTCATCTGGTGACTTCAAGAGAATTGAAGACTGCCCTTCCTTCTTCCTATTAAATGATTCCATCCGAGCTCTCTACTTCCAGCCTCGTCAATCAGATCAATAGCCTTATCAGGAAGTTGTCTGTCAGGAATGTATCTTGCTGACAAATAAACTGCTGCATTGATGGCTTCAATGTGAATTTGCATTTATGGTAAGTTTCATATTTCTCACGAAGACCCAGTAATATCTTCACAGCATCTTCCTGCAGTTAGTTTCAAAAATGGCTGAGAGAGAAATTTACATGTTAAACTACCTCACTTTCATAAGACAACCACAGTACCTGACTAGGCTCATCTACTAATACTGGCTGGAAGCGGCGGGCCAAAGCCTTATCCTTCTCAAAATGCATCCGGTGTTCATCTAGAGTTGTAGCTGCAATGCACTAAAAATGCAAACAAATATTGTCCATAAGATAGGAAATATGATAAGGTATGATTTTCTATATACACAGAACGAGTGCACTAAGCAAGAAATCAGATGAATCTAATACCTGCAGTTCACCTCTAGCAAGTGCGGGCTTCAGTAAGTTGCCAATGTCAAGACCAGAACCCTTACCCTTTCCAACAGTTCCAGATCCAATAAGATTGTGAACCTCATCGATAAAAAGAATAACATCGCCTGCATAAAGTTCTTATGATTTTTAATATTCATTCATGACCACGTGCAGAAGCTCCGTATCTGGTAACATTTCAGAATGCACTACTGACTGACCTGCTTCCCGGACTTCACGGATTATATTAGTAACCCTAGACTCCAGTTCACCCCTCTCCTTTGCACCAGCAATAAGTAGACCAACGTCCAGTGACAATATACGCTTTGCCTGCAAATAATTTAAATATGAATATACCACATATCTGAAAGCAGATCACAAATGCATAACTTTACATCCATCATCACTGGCAAGTCAAGCTGAAGCTTACCACGAGGTAAATGGGGAGAGGCTGAAATTCCAGAGCTGCCCTAAGGATCTAATAGAGTCTCTTGATGAGCCATCTGGTCCTAATTGTAGCAAGCTGATTGTGCAGTACTATCATATCAAGTTAACAACTACATAATATAATGACTTATAATGAAAAGTTCAGAATTTAGGAAACAAAAATAGAGATGATAATACTTACTCATTTCCGGAGTTCATGCGCATTGGATGATAACCACCTGCATTATATGGAGAATGGAACATGCAGTAATCTGCATCAGATATTGAGAACTGTTCTCCGACTAGCTTTTCATACCTAATGTCACTCACCATGCATGAATAGGATGTTACTCAAGACCAATACAATAGTAATCGCAGCAAGCTTACATGGTACAAAACTGTCTATAACATGAATCTAGAGCCATCAAGCAGCATGTTTGAGATAACTTTCCATCAACAACTACATAATATAAGTCCAAGAAATAAGCAATGGCACAGAAAATATGATAGATAACCTGAGAAAGGAATAACGAGATCTGGAAAAGGAGCCATGCCCCCACTGCAATAATCCAGGACCAAATATTTAAGAATTCCAAAAGACAGTAACATAAATAAAGTTGAAATGCTAAACTGAAAGGAGTTCTATATCTACAAAGACAAAAAAAAATGTCATTTGCTTCTCCAGTTCTCCGTGTCTTGCACCCCTTCTTTGCCACCCTTCTTTGCTCAACCTGACACCTCCTTTCCTCAAATATCATCACCATCGCCAATATCATCTTCTGATAATTTAACATCTGATAAACCTGAAACAAGAGCGAGTAATGAGTTATAAGGTGTCGTTATTGCTCAAACAACAATACTCAAACTAACAATATGCTACTTTGTACAATGCAAAGAAAATATACATTCTGCTCTCAACCAATCCTGCAGGCATACTAAGGCTTGAACTTTCTTGCTTGTTAGTCGGCTTTTGTAGTCACTAACAATTCTTCCACTAGTGGAAAATGCAGATTCAGAAGCTACAGCCGATACGGGTGCTGCAAACACATCCCTTGCCATACGAGAAACCACAGGATACTTTGTAGAATGCATCATCCACCACTGCAGAATATCAAATTTCTTTTGTCGAGGGAAAAGATCATCTTGCAGATATGTGTCAAGCTCACTTTTCACTCTCTTCCTTTTTTGTGCTGCAAGATGTTGTTCAAAGTCTGCCCAAAGAGTCATCTTCATCAATACTTCCATCATTGGGCTCTGGTTGTGAGTAGTTTAAATCAGGTGCCATTGATGAATATCTGCGAAAATAGATTTTGCAATGTGGCCTTTACCATTTTAGTGTATGCTTTGGACCTTTATCACCAAAACCAGGCGTCCAAACGAAATGATATAAAACGAGCTTAAACCTAGGATCTAGAACTCTTTGGAACACATATACGCAACAAGCATATGTCCCAAGATTTCGAAACTTCAGTTTCATTTTGCTTGCCAAACTGCAATGGAAATATCTCAGATTTGATTCCAAAGTTTCTATTTTTCCTTTGACTTCCCATAGGACATGGAAGCAGGTGGTTTCTTGTTGGGTATAATGTACCGAAAACTACATTTGTAGCATCATAGAAGGGTTTGAACACATTGCAAAGTAGGTCTGCCATGTTCCAATCTGTATTAGAAGGCTTGTCCATGCAATTAGGATCTTGTGACTCCATAACATCAAAGACGCCCTATACTCTATTACGACTTCAGCATTAAATAAGTTGAGTTCCACCGAGTTGGAACATCAAGAGACAGTCTCTTCTCACAGGATATACCTAATTGTACAATGATTTCCTCGAAGCGTTGTTTACGGGCTTGTGAGCTTCTAATGTACTTGACACTATCTCAAATGCGGTCAAGTAGCACCATCTATCACCTTAAATCCCTCCTTGACAATAAGTTTCAACACATGCGCTACACAACGCATATGTAGCAGATCACCATTTCCAAGCATAAGGTGTCTTTCTGAAAGATTTTTCCTTAAGGAACCAACCATGTTGTTGTTGTTCTTTGCATTATCTAATGTGATGCTAAATACCTTGTGCTCTAACTTCCATTCTTGCAAACACTTCAACAATGTATTAAACAAAGTAAAACCATCATGGGCGAAGCTACAAGACCAAAACCTATTATTCTCTTATGCAACATCCAGTCATTATCAATGAAGTGGCAAGTAATGCACAAGTAACCTAGGTTCTGATTTGAAGTCCACAGATCAGCAGTTAGACAGACCCTTGAATTTGAATTTTTGATAGTTTCCCGAAGAATAACCTTCGATCCTCATATGAGCTCATAATATCCTCAAAGAATCTGTAGTTCTAGACACTATGGTAAACCAAGGATTTAAGGTAGCAATAAATTTCAAAAGCGGTGCATGGTCAACTAAACTAAAGGGCAGCTCACGCAATACGATAAAGTTGACCATGGCTTTACGTGAGACCTCTTGGTCAAACTTCCAATTCTTGAGCTAGTGAATCGGGGATAGTCCTGTGTTCATGCTTTCAACCAACTGGTTCATTCTAGTCCTTTTCTTTGCACACTTTCAAATGCCTCGACAAGCACTTCTACCATTATCTCGAGTAGCGCACAAGAGCTCCAAACAATGAATACATTTAGCTTGTACTACTAGATTCCCCTCATAAATAGGCTCAAATTCTTTCCACACATCAGATCTAAGTTTACGCCTCTTAATTGGTCTTGATGCATCTATACAATAAGTATGTAAATATTGATTAGTACAAGCATTTACTAAAGTATACATAGTCGGTAACTAAAGGCATCTCATGCAAAGAAGAAAATTCATCTAAAGGACCGGGATAGTAGAAAGCAGGACTAAGTAATAATGAATTATCGTACCAATGAATCGGTTTGCCCCCAACTCAAACGATTCATAGATGCAAAGAACAATGGAAAAAGTTACACTAGAAGGAGACAAGCACCGGACTTGGTCTTAACCTCTTAGGACTTAAACTCGGAGTTGGGTTGGGGATGGTACGAGCATTGGCCTTAGGGTTTCAATGAGGTCCGGTTTATAAAGCTGGAGAATTCTAACTCTCTGCTGCAAATATTCCAGGCTTCCAGCATACAAAATCTTGAAGACATTCAATTCACTACAAGCTAGCGAAATATTATAGTATGCTCAACAATATTTCTTGTGTGAAATAACAAGGGGCAATGATATACAATGGCTTATATTGTCCATGAATTAGCAGAAAAATTAAGGAATAGCTATATCACTTTATGGATGAGATGATGCACCATGCCATTCATATGTAAGGGACGGAGGAGAGATCCAGATGCCGGATGAACAGAATTTGTGCAGTGTTGAAGGCTATTTCATTTTGTGAAAGAAAAAACAGTGGCAAGTCAGCTGCAACAACAAAAATAACAAAGAGCCGAATTATATCCATCAAAAGAGGCAGCAGGCGCAATTCGCAGGCTTGTTCTATTAGGGTTTAGTGAACAAGGCCCAATGGCACACGTATAATTATATATACACACTCTTAATAAAGAAATTAAAGATGCTAATGAAAAATTTGAGACATAAACTGGTTGCTTCAATATGCAGGAAGTCAGATCTAACCTGGGCCAAGATCAGGAGAAATAACCATTCTTGTATCATCAGAAGACGAAGATGATGATCTTGCAGATAGTACCGGAGACTGGCTCATCCTTGGTGACTGTAGCATTCTATTAAGTACCGGAGATCTCACATAATGCACACGTGAAGCAGATGACTTCCTCTGCATTCCTTCTGAATGATTTGAAGCATTAACAACAGATGACTTCCGTTTTGACAGCAACGACTTGATCCTATCCACGCTCCTTGATGCTGAATCTTTGCCAAGATTAGGAGAAGTAGTCGTTCTTGTATCATCAGGTAAGGTTGAAGATGACAATCCTGCACATGGTGACCTCTGGTGTTTGGCTCTGGAGTGGCGCATCCTTGGCGATGCTACGATCCTATTCAGTAGCGGGGACCTCACAAATTGCACATTCGAAGCAGATGACTTCCTCCGCTTCTCTGTTGGAGGCTTTGGAGCATTAACAGCAGATGACATCTGTTTCACTAGCA